TATATATATATATAAAACATGAGACATGCCAAATAAATTTTAAGTGCACAACTCAGTGGCATTAATTACACTTATAATGTTGTGCACCCATCCCCACGATTTTCAAAATATTTCCGTCACCCGTCATACTTCTTTTTGTTTTCCCTGAAACTGCCTCTTTCATACTTTGTAGGATGCTCTCTCGAGATCATATCCTGGGATTGAGCAAATTAATGGTCACCCCCTTCAGGCTGCATTATTGCAGGCTTAGACTACATGTCCTTTCCACTTTTTAGATTCCAGAGTTTTAATCCTCTTGGTCTATCTAAGCATCTCCTGCCTCTGTGTTGTGCTAGGAGCACAAAACCAAAAAGACCAGGGTTGACAGTAGCTGGGAGACTGATGCACAACTGGTTCATTAGAATATGGAAAGATATGCCCTCTGGCCTGAGTGTTTCAAGAGACCAAAGCGAAAGCCGGCTGAATTGGACAGGAAGTTCATTCCCTCCTTGAATCAGTAATCAGGGTGCACCTGCCCATCCTGGCCCTGGGCAAGGCACTCAGGGGAAATAGTCAAGTAAGACTCAGCTTGCCTTTGACCGTCTATCACAGTGGAGGGTTGTCTGGACCCCGGGACAGCTATGGCCTAGAGGTTTCAAGAAGTCGATGACACTTGAGCTGCATCTTCATGGAGTTACAAGAATTCATCAAGCACTCACAGGGAGTATGGGCAAAATGGGCATTTGGGCACAGGCAGTAGCTTGTGTGTTTAGGGGGCAGTGGGAAGGTCAGAGTCCACAGTGCACAGGAGGCCTCCAAGGCTGGTCCAGATAGAGCATGAAGGAGCCGGCGGAACATGGAAGATATGGGGACCCGGCACAGGGGTCAGAATCGGGCTGGGATAAGGCCTGGGCTCAACTTGAGTGGGCGATGGGCTCAGGCCTGGGGCCAGAGTTTAGGCCCTGACAGTTTCTCTGGGGACAGTTCCACCGGACAGCACTGCACCGAGCTTCCCTGGAGGGCCACATGGAGATCCTGGAGAAGCTTCTAGAGAGTGGGGTCACTGTGGACTTCCAGGATCGGGTGAGCAAGAGGCCAGGTATTGGGTGAGGGGCAGGAGGTGGTCCAGCACTCATAGACTCCCTATCCCTGCAAACCTCCAACCTGGGACATAAACAAGCTGCCTCGGGGGCCAGGCTCCACCTCTAGTATGTTGTATGACCTTGCGGGGCGGGGGGGGCGGGCATCTCCTCCCTGAGCCTCCTCTGTAAATCTGGCTTGGACGAGATGGAGCCCGAGGGTTCTTCGGCTCCACTGCATCCATTGCTCAGTCATTGGAGTGGCCCTATCCTTCCCTGGATACCTGCCTGCCCTCTTGGCTGGGGTCCTTTCCCCCAGGGCACTTTCTTCCCTGAAGCTCTGCAATTAGGCTCCACCCTTCCTTTCTAGCTGGACTGCACGGCCATGCATTGGGCCTGCCGTGGGGGCCACTTGGAGGTGGTGAAGCTTCTGCAAAGTCGGGGAGCAGACACCAACGTGAGGGATAAGGTGAGGCCATAATGCTCACAGATGTTGAGGTAGCAGGGCGGAGGGGTGGTGGGGAGAGAAGCAGAGGGTAGAAAAGCAGAAAGCAGGAGGGTAGTGAGCTAGTCTGGTTTCTGGAGTGGCTGCAGAGCCCAGGGATGGGTCCTTGCCATCAGCTGCAGCCCCTTGGAGACTACCATCTGGGAATGGGAGCAAGAGCAGAGGAGAGGGGAGGAGAAGAGATCCACTAGCTTGGCGGCTTTGGGACCACCCAGAGATGCAGGATTTGTTCACCCGTGCCATCGTTCATCATCCTTCTATCTGTCTATCTATCCGTCCATCCATTCATTTATTCATCTGTTCACTTATTTATTCATCCACCATTTTTAATTCACTCAATCCTTTGTATATAACCTTGAACAAGTGACAGCCTCTGAGCCTGTTGCTCATCTATAAAATGTCTTGCAGAGTTCTTGTATAGATTGGATGGGAAAATTTATGTAAATTAATTATTTATTCAACATAAGGCTAATGTTTTGTAAGATTTTGCTGTGCTCATCACATAGTCATTTCTCAGTAAATGGCATCTACTATAATTATTTTAAAAGGGCAGAGGAGTGAGCAGTAGCTCACATCCGGGTGAGAGGGGAAACATAGAAGGCTTCCCCGAGGAGGTGGCATGTAATGCCTTAGAGCTGATCATCAGATAGGGTGATGGGAAATTACAGCGTTCCCTACCCCTCCTTGGGAGAAGGATTAGGCTAGAGTTAAGACGGCCGCCTCCCAGAGGCATCACAGTCCAGGTCCCTTCAGCCAGCATCTCCTGATTCCTCCCCACCCAGCTGCTGAGCACCCCCCTGCATGTGGCAGTCCGGACGGGGCACGTGGAGATCGTGGAACACTTTCTATCCCTGGGCCTGGACATCAATGCCAAAGACAGAGTGAGTGTCTGGGTTCCTTCACGCCCAGCCCCACCATAGGGGGCTCCATATGCCCCCTGAGGGCTCCCACATGCCCCCGTGGGCCATGCTGAGTGTCTCACTGGTTCTAGGAAGGGGACAGCGCCCTGCATGACGCCGTGAGGCTCAATCGCTACAAAATCATCAAACTGCTGCTCCTGCACGGGGCTGACATGATGAGCAAGAACCTGGTAAATCCACTCCTTTCCTGATTCAGTAAACAGTGTGCGCTGCCCTCCCGGGCCCTGTGCTGGGCACTCGGAAGAAAGACAGAACTGAGCAGGACTCGGCTGGCCTGCCCTTGGGGCAGTGTCACAGTGGAGGGTTTCTCTGGGCCCCAGGAGATTGGGGGCCCACCCGGCTTCCCAACTCTCTCTATGCTTCTCTACATCCAGAAAATCTAAGTGGAGAAAACAGCCAGGAGGGACAGGAGGAGGATTTCCCAAAGGCCCCCAAGTAGACTGCAGGCGGTCCTAATGTCCAGGCTCAGGGAGGCCAAAATCGTGGAGGGACAGAGCCGGAAGGAAGCTAAGCACTCAGTCAGCACGATTGTTCCTAGCACCCTGTGTTGGCTCCTGTGGTCCTCCAGTTCCTTTAGGAACCTGTGTCCCCCCGTCCAAGCTCTTCTTTGGGGCCCAGAGCAATCACAAAAGAGAGGAGAATTGGGTAAGGGGGGACCTTGACTCAAGAAAGGCTGGGGGGTGCAATATAGGGGGAGGGGATTAAGAGGTACAAACTGTTATGTATGGTATAAGCTACAAGGATATATTGTACAACACGGAATATAGCCAATATTTTATAATAACTATAAGTGTAGTATAACCTTTAAAAATTATGAATCACTGTATTGTGCACCTGTAACTTATATAATATTGTACATCAACTATACTTCAATTTTTTAAAAAAAGCTAGCTATATGAAAGAAGAAAGAGAGGCTGAGGAGATAATGGGAAAGTTAGGAAGACAAGGGGAAGGTGTAAATGAGGGCTTCTCAACCGCACACGTGTTGGGCGGGAGAACTCTTTGTCGTGGGGGGGCTGTCTGTGCATTATCGGATGTTTGGGCAGCATCCCTGGCCTCTACTCAAGATGCCAGTAGCATCCCCTCCTCCAGTGTCATAACCAAAAATGTCTCCAGACATTGCCAGTTGCTCCCAGTTGGGAGCCACTGGCGTAGATGAGGGTACCTCTTCGTCCAGACTTCTGAACGGTGACTAGATATCCTCTTGTCTCCCCCAGGAAGGAAAGACCCCCACGGACCTGGTGCAGCTGTGGCAGGCTGACACCCGGCACGCTCTGGAGCACCCGGAGCCGGGGTCAGAGCAGAACGGGCTGGAGGGGTCTGCTGAGGGTGGGCGGGAGACCCCGAAGCCTGTGCCAGCCCAGTAAACGACTGTCCCAGCCCAGCCAGGCACCTGGCCTGTCCCCTGCGTACAGCCGGAGGGTCATAAGAATGGCCCCCAGAGCTGAGGACCGCATCATACCTCTGTACGCCCCGGGAGCCCCCACAAGCTACCGCAATTAAAACAAAAAGTCATTTTTGCTGTGTGTGATGTTCATTTCTATTTGTGCCTAAAACATTTAGGAATGAAGGAAGACTGGGGGCAAGGGTGGGCTCAGGCAAGAGGGGAACTTGGAGCCCTTTGGCCCCCCTGAGCCAGCCCTGCTGCTTTTCCTAACAAGGCCTCTTTTTGCTTCTTTCCTGCCACCCCACTTCCCAGTCCCAAAGTGGATCAGCTTCCCAGGGCACTTGTCCTGGGGTCCCCTCCTGGTGACAGCTGTCCTGTGGGGCTGTGCGTGACCAGCACGGGCCTGTCACGTGGCAGGCTTGGTGGGAGGAGCTTGGCAGGGGAGTGGGGCAGTGGCGGCAGATCACAGGTCTCATCCAGCCAGCCCCGCCTCCCACAGGGAAGAGCCGGCTCAGCCAATCGGCTCCGCCAAGCTCTCAACTGCCACGCGGAAGCGGGGAAGCCAGCGTGGCTCCTGGCTTTGGGGCTGGGAATTGTGGGAGGAGGGCCGGGCCCCACTGGAGGCACCCTTTTGTGTAAGGACCCAAGGAACCAGTCCTCCGTCTGGCCACAGGGACACTGGGTTGTGGCATTTCTCCAGCTGCTCCCCAGGGGGAGGGAAGACCTCCCTGGAGCCAACAGGCCTAGCCTCTGACCCTGGAAACACCCAGCCCAGGCCTGCCTGAGAGCCAACAAGTCAGGGGGCAGCAAATTTTTAACCAGACACATAGATCATTAACTGGGGTAGGAAGGAGTCCAAATTCAGCATCCCTCGGGGGCAGAGACCAGCTGGGCTTTGAGCCTCCTGTGGAGATGCTGGGCCCCCGAGTCTGGTCCTCTGTGAGGCAGGGGCTGAGCAGGGCCTTGTCCAGCACCGTGGGGGGCTGGGCCTCAGGGGAGGGGAGGAAGGTGGACATCTCAGGCATCTACCCCCCTGTGACCACCCCCTTCACTGCCACGGCCGAGGTGGACTATGGGAAACTGGAGGAGAATCTGCACAAACTGGGCACCTTTCCCTTCCGAGGTAAGCGGGGTCTGTCCGCTGTGGGAGTTGGGGAGATGTGAATGACGCTGGTCTCCTCAGCCAGCAACCAGAGGAGGGTACACAGGCTCTTTCGAGCTGCTCTTGGTCAGTCGGGTACCCTGGGAGTCATTTTATTATGAGAGAGGAACAGGGGGCATTGGTCTGGAGTCAGGAGCCAGGCAGGAATCTTGGGTTGTGATCTTGGGTTGAATCTCCTCTTGGGTTGGCCTGTGATCTTGGGTTGAATCTCCTCTGCCTCAGTTTCCCCAGCTGTAAACCGTTGAAGTTCTTAGCCCAGCGTTATTGTGAGGATGAAACTAGATCATGGGTGTGAAAGCCTTTGTCAACCAGCCACTCTGTGCAGATGTGAGGGCAGTGGGGTGTCACGTGGCAGCCCCGCCAGCGGGCTCATCTCCCTCAAAGCCTTGTTTGCCCACTCTCTTCCGGGCAAAGCCTCCCTCGGCCAAATTAATTCCTGTCCTGGATCCTCTGACTCATTTCCCTGTTACACATGGGCCTCCCCTCTCTGAGATCAGAGACCAGATCATATTTGTGACACTCAACATACAACACAGCCACAGGCACGATAAATGAAGATAAAAGAAGCGGCAAATTCTGCCCGTCCTGCCCTGCCCACCCTCATCCATCACCCGTGACAGTTGCCTGAGGCAGTGCTCTCAACAGCCCTATTTCACAGACTGGGAAGCTGGGGCTCAGAGTGACGAGATCACTTGCCCAAGGTCACTCAGCTAATACGTGGCTGAGCTGGGATTTGAACTCAGGTCTGACTGCACAGCCATGCTCGGTTTCACTCCACTGCACTGACTGATGAGCCGCTAGGTCAGATTCTAATAAACAGACCCTGATGGGCACCAACTTGGGAATGGAGTGGTTCCGACTGGGGTAATGCAGTGGAGCAGTTGGGAACGTGCACTCTTGATTCAAACCACAGCTCGGCCACTGACTTAGCCGTGAGATCTCTCTAAAGCTCAGTTTCTCCATCTGACACGTGGGAGTAATAATGGCCACATCATAGGAGGGTGGGGAGAAGAATCAGAGAATGCAAGTGAAAGCATGCTGTAAATTGTGAAGGGTATGTACATGAGAAGGTGTGGATTCCAGTGATAACGATGATTAGAATGACAGTGTGATCGCCACTGCGGGCAGAGCCGCGTTGTGACAGTGCCCGCTGGCATGACTGAGACCCCATTCGTATCTCAGTGCTGAGGCGATGTGAACCTTCCCTAGCGGCCAGTGAATGCCCTGTGGACGTCCACACTGAGCAGTGACACAAACTCTAAGTACATTTCTGCTGGGGCTCAGCTCATTGGAGCCTGAAGGTTTGGGCTGAGGCCCGGATCTCTTGAAGCAAAGTGAGAAGCTCCTTGAATCTCTAAACGAAGACTCTGCTTCACCTCCCGGGTTCAAGGACACCCTAGTGCAGGGGGTGGGGAGGGTAGACTTTGCATCCAGTGTCTGCCTGCGCCCCAGGCTCTTCTCTGGACCCTTCCTTCCCCCTCCCCACAACTCACTGCTGCAGTGGGGACAGGGGTGCCTAGGAGCACAGGCTGCAGAGGGTTTGGCAGGCTGGCCATTGGTAAACTACACAGGCACCAGCTCCCACCTCAGCTCTCTCTTACCCCCGCACATGGGGGAGCAGGGCACTGTGTAGAAGAGCCCAACACCCGGAGTTAGAAGACCTGTAGGAGTTCTAGTTCTGCTAGTTACGGCGACCTTGGAAAAATCACTGAACCTCTGATCCGGCTTCCTCATTTTAGAATGGCAACCGGGCCACAGCATTCAACACAGTCCTCCCAAGGAACCCAAACCCGAGGTCCTGGCACAGATAACACCGGGCCATAGGGCCCAGTCACAGCTCCCAGGATGCAGCCGGGTTGCCTGGGAAGGGAGCAGTGAGCCACTCTAGCGCGAAAATCTATGTCTCTCTTGCTGGATCCTCACCCCCTTTTGCAGCCTAAACTCAGGAGCAGGGGAGGGAACCATCATGTATCACATTGCCAGGGCCTCCTGCAATGAGTTAAAGGTCCTCCAAAGAGGAGATGGGAACCTGCCCTTGATGAATTAGTGAAGAGTTAAGAGATTCTTCTGAAAGGCGTTGCCTGAAACTGTGCAGCTCTATTTATTACTTACTTATTTTTTTTCAGCATAGTTAATTTGTACTAATTATTTGAATAAAGAGTATTCTTTTTAAATAAAACTTATAACCGGAGACCAGAGGGAAGGGTTTTTGCAGAAGGGCCATTGGTCCCTGAACTCACACCCACAAACAACCTCAGAGATGAACTTTGAATTGTTATTTCCAAATGAGGTTAGTGGATGACCCCAGAGTTACTCCAGCAGGATCAGGGAGGTGATTTTTCCCAGAAAAGCTTAAGCTTCTGTCTTATTCCCTTATTATGAAGGGAAGACTATGGTTTCTCGTGATAAGGTATAATATTTTGTGTATATTAAAGCCATTAGTTCGTTAAATAAAATATTTTGTTTAAAATATCACAATTTTTATAACCCTATTTGGCATTGAGAAATGTGTCATATGCCTCTGGGAGTGGCCCAGGCCTGTGTCTGCCCTGAGAGGCCCTGGGTATAATTTGGGATTGACGGTCAGACTCTCAGTTGTCTGTACCCACAGAGAGCCTGGCCAGCTGGCCCACCCACTCATAACCTGAACTCTGCCCACTTACAGGGGAGTTGGGGGCAAATTCTGGGTTTGCAGGTGCATTAAGGCAAGAGGTAGCAGCCCCCATCCTGAAATGGCCCCAGGGATCTGGGACGGGCTGAAGTCTCCTGTCCTGCGTATTCTGCCTTCTCAGTCTACTGCTTGTCTTCCCCCCAATTGTGACCTCATGTTACTCCAGAATGAGCTCCTTTCTGGACCCCTTTGGCTTCCGGACCCTCTCTGTTATGGGGCTGGGGGCTGTAAGTGGGGATGGAATGCACTGAGCTGGCAGTGGGGTTCGGCCCTTCATGGAGGGAGACACTAGCCTTAGGCAGCCAGGAATGGATGCCAGCCCAGCCAAGGGGGTCTTTCAACCATGGCCAGCTTGACCCAGCAGCTTCTGCCCCTTGGGTGCCATCAGATGGGGAGGAAGAGAAACCAAAGACTGGACGATAAGAAGGCCTGACTTGCAGAACAGGTCACAAGCAGGAGGCAGAAGGGACTCAGAATTGGGGAAGCTACCCTTCCACTGACCTTGGGGACAGCTGTCAGGGTGGGAGAAAGGTCCCAGGCCTCAGCCCATGCCTGTCAGACTAGACATAAAGGATCCTGTGACCTCTCCCCGCCCCGCCCCTCAACCACCTTCCTCACAATGGGGTTCATTGCTGAGGTGGGAGGGGCAGCCTAGGGAGGGCACAGCGTGGGGCCTGCCTGCCAGACAACCTCGGGGAGCCTGTCCTTTCAAGCATGAGCCATACCATCTGGGCTCCCCGACTCCCAGTGTGCTCTTAGCTCTGCCCGCCTGGCGTGGGGTCCTGGAGACCTTCTTGGAGCTCATCCAGCAACCATCACGCAGGGTGGTGCTGGGGACCGCCCTCTTACTCGGAGGTGGAGCCCTCATGTTGTGGATGCAGAGGAAGAGGAGAAGGAAGATAGATTCTGAGACTGCACAAGACGAGCAGGAGCCACCAGAAAGCGGCAAAGCAAGGAAGGAGAGCTGGATCAAATCGCACTTCAGCTGTCTTTCCGAAGAGAAGCTGGCTGCCGGCAGCAACCCCACCTGCAGCCACAGCGCCGGGGCCTGCAGCAGCGGTGCTGCTGCCCAGCCTGAGAGCGGCAGCGGGGAGGCCAGCACCACGATTCCTGTGGACACCTTCACCACGAGGCAAGGAGAAGAGGGCACTGCTCTTCACCGGGAGCCCTTGACCAGCAAGCAGAGGATGTCTGGGACCTCAGTGACCAAAGAGACCCACGAGGAGTCTGGGAAATCCTCGTCCACGGATGAGGCCATGTGGGCCGCCGTGGCTGCCTGTACCGAGGAGATTGACACCAAGGGGCAGCAGCTGGCTATCTCCATGTTGCAGCGTGCCATGGCTTGCCAGAACTCAGGCCACCTGGAGTCCAAGGACATCAGCCAGGAGGAGCTGAAGGCCCTCGAGGAGGTGGAGATGAAGCTGAAAGGGAATTTCCTCACCCAGCAGGAAACCATCACAGCTGGTGCCAACCACATGCACACCTTCCATAGCCATGGCCACCAGGGTTATCCAAGCCACCCGAGCCACCCGTGCCACAGCCCGCCGAACAGCAGCCACCAGGCCTACCAGCCCTTTAAAGCCACCTAACCACAGATGGAGATGCCCCTTCCCCCCACAGGGCTGGCACACAATCACAGGCATCCTATGTGGTCCGTCTCTCCGATGGGGCAAACTATGTGGCCCAGATGCTGCTTAAATCCCTGCTTCGTCAGGCCCTCACAGGGGTCCCGGGTCCCTTGGATTCTGTGAGCGGAGTCTGCCACTGATGGCCCCTGATGGAGGGAGAGCTGGGGGGAATTGAAGCAGCTGAGACAGACTCGCAGGCCACGGAAGACCCAGCAAGAGAGGATGCGCGAGGCAGATCCCAGGAGCAGCTGAGAGCACCATGCTGATGCCAGCTGCCTGGAACTGAGCCAATAAAGCCTTGTATACCCTCACTCTGGGTCTGAGGGCTTTGTGGCCAGCCCCAGGTCTGGGCGGGCCTCTGGGGAGAGGGTTCCTCCTCCCACAGTCCTCTTCATGTGGGCTGATTCGAGACTCCATAATTCGGCCTCCCGGGTCTCAGTTTCTGGGCGTGGGGCAGGGGGCTCAACTGCCACCGACCTGCTGCTACCAAGGAAGGAGGGAGCAGCTGGGAGTTGGGAGGAGTGGGGAGAGACAGGCTTTGAGAAGCCAGGAAGTAAGCAGGGGTGGGATGTAGGTCACCCTGTGTACTACCGCCCTCTCCCTGCCCGCACTGGGATCCGTGTTGGTGCCTCCCCACCGCCTACCTTCAGAGCTACCGTGCCATATGCTCTCTCCTTGTTCATGCTACTCTTGCTGGGGCTGCCTCTGTTGCAGTACTGCTAAACTGTAGTAGGATTAGTACTACCAGTAGCTCTGCCCACCTTTTTTTGAGTGTTTAGTATATGCCATGTTCTGTGTTGTGTTACAGCACAGCCCCATGAGGAGGGTATTATGTTATCTCCATTTTGTAGTGAGGCTCAGAGGTGTAATTTTCCTGAGACAGCCTAGACAGTAAGTGATGTTGCTGGGGTCAGAGCCCAGCTTGGCCTAACTCCAAAGCCCGTACCCCGAACCCCTGCCCTGTGCTACCCCCGAGTCCGATGTCCACCATCCCCCAGTGGGCCTATCTCTCTTATACTTATCCCTGTCCTCTTCCCACATGTCCTGACACTCGCTGTGCCCTCCGGCAAGCCTGGGACTCTCCTTGCCTCCTTTTCCTGGGTTTCACAAAGCCATTTCTGGAGCAAGCAGTGACCCCCAGGTAGGCAGTTAACGGGAGGCAGCTGTCTCCCCCATGAAACTTGAGAGGAGTCAGCTACATGGCACTGTCTAACCTCCAGTGTCTCCTTTACGTAGAAATTTCTTACCATTTGCATCTATTATGGATTTACCAGTGGTTCCCAACCTGTGGGCCTCCAACTCCAGGAAGAAGGTGCCCAGAATCATTGCAAAGGATGGTTAAATCTGTAAACACCCTAAATGTTGTCATTTGATTTTATGGAGCATAGTTGGGAGTATTTGAATATTTTTGACATTACTAGTAAGTGACTTTATATAAATGTTGATGTGTGTGTGTGTGTGTGTGTGTGTGTGTGTGTGTGTGTGTGTGTGTATTTAAAGTACTTCATAATAGGGACTTCCCTGGCGGTCCAGTGGTTGAGACTCCACGCTTCCACTGCAGGGGGCGCTGGTAAGATCCCTGGTTGGGGAACTAGGATACCCCATGCTGCACAGTGCAGCCAAAAAAAAAAAAAAAAAAACTTCATAATAAAAATCTTAGTTGGAAAAAAATAGGGTCAATCATACTGGAAAATGTTGGAAGCTGCTAATTAGATGGAAGGCGAGAGTAGTGAGGTTTGGCTTCTGCAAGTGACTGTTAAAATGCATAAAATGCATGCATTTATCTGGAAGACCTTAAATCCCTTATTAAAAACTTATTACATAAAATTTCAGATTAGCTAATTATGACTTTGGAATCTTAACTTTTAAAAAGTTTCAAACTGGCAAAATTCAAATAAAGTGTGTAGTTAGCATTGTACCAATGTTAAGTCTTTGGTTCTGATCATTGTACTCTAGTTAGGTAAGATGTTGTCATTAGTAGGGGGCTGGGGGAGGGCTGTATGGAAATGCCCTGTACCATTTTTGCAACTTTCCTGTAAATTGGAAAGTAGTTCAAATTAAAATTCAAAAAAGTTTTCAGGCAATTTAGTTAAGAGGGATATCAGAGTTTTATTACAGTTGTGCTGCAAGGAAAATAGCTTCTAAGCAGCCAACTCAAGTATATGCTCTTGGAAAGGATATTTTTATAAGAAAAGAGAATGGTTAAATCATTGTTAGACTAGATAGAAAGAAGAGAGGTTAACAGTCACTAGACTCTTGTCTTAGAGTCTGCTGGGAGAGTGGCTCGTTTCCCAGGCCAAGGCTTAATTCCATTGAAGCTCATTAGGAAATTGCTTAAGCATTTCATCAGGAACTTTCATTTCTTCCTAGTGGGAGGTTATGAATTACATCATGCAAAAAAGTTCTGCCTTAGACCAGGTTTGGGACAATTTTTCTTTTATGCAACAAATTATCAACGCACATGTCAACAGGCAGTGTGCTGGGTGTCACGAAGGAGGCCAAAATGAGGACACCATCTTTGATCTTGATGCTTCTAGACAAGGTAGGGCAAGTGCTGGGCAAGGACAAAATGCTATGGAGCACAAGGGAGAGGGGGATTAAGGAAAGGCTTCGTGGTTCTTGCAGCATCTGAGGGGCTGCAACTAGGGAGGTGTTCTGGGCAGAGAGAAAGGTACAGGAGCAAAGGTGTAGAGGCAGGATGATGGCAGTGTGTCTGGGGACCCTGACAGTCAGTTTGGCTAGAGGGGAACATTTAGAGATAGGCAAAAGGGAGGAGGAAAAGCCCGAAAAGTGACTCCAAAGCCTCAAGGCAAAGAGAACTTAAGAGACTGTCCCATCCAATTTCCTCATTTCACAGCAGAGGCCAGTTTGAGAAATTTTGTCAAGTCCCAACAAGTGGGGGTCGGGCAGATTGAAGGGTTCTGAGGATCTCTGTGCACTTTTGAGTAGGCAGCAGGAAAGGACAAGGAATAGGTAATGGAAGTTCAGAGGAGAGATGTCCAGTGAAGGCTTGATCCCAGGAAGACTTCTCGGAGGAGGTGGCAATGATGATGGGCCAAGGGGCATAACACTGACTGGGGATACTACTTACATAAAAGAGACTGTGATTCCTTTTGGCCACAGTAAATCACGCTGTTGCTTGTGTGTCCTCAGCCCCCACCTACTCCCCTCACCAAGCCTTTCTGGCTCCCCAGAGCAGCCAGAATAACCATGGGGGCAAGGGAGAGAAGCTTCTGAAATGAGTCTCTTTCCTCTTAGAGCTGGAGGGGGTCTGAGAGGTTCCTGAGTGCAGCCTCCCGTCCCACACCAGCCATCCTCCCCCTCCTCAGACTGAAAGTTGCCACCCTCCTGATTTAAGGCTTGAGCACTCCTCTGACTAATATAATGATTACAGCTAACATATTGAATGCCAGGTTCTAGCTATTCCAAGCACTTTACAAATAGTATCTCATTGAAACTTCACAAGTCTTGAAAAGGGGCACCAATATTACCCCCATTTTTCAGTTGGGGAAGCTGAGGTTTGGTTAAACCATTTGCCCAAGGGCTCAGAGCTGGCGAGGGGCCACACTGGGAGTTAAACCCGGGCTCTGACAACCCTACTGTGCTGCTCCCTGCTTCCCCACCGCTCACTTTCCTCACTCCCCACCCATCTGGAACCCTGGCCTTTTCCTCTCCTTTAGCCCCACCTCTACACCATGGTGGCACATTAGGCCTGAAACTGGACATCTGGTCAAGGAGAAGGAGGGGGTTCTTGGCAGTATCAGTTCACAGACTTCAAAGTGCTTTCTTTCTCCTACATTTTCTCATTTGAGCCTTTAAGACAGCCCTATCAGGTAGGATTGAAGTGACTTTATTGTCGTCCCAAAGAAAAGGAAATGGGGTCTCAGAGAGCGCTGTGACTTGCCCAGTAGCCAGAGGGACTGGAGTCCAGCACTTGCCTGACGCTATCACACTTCCCCTCCCCCAGCCTGGCATCTCTTCCTTCTTGGGAGTCAGGCCTGGGTCGGATGCTCCCTTAAATGAAATGAGGAGAAGCCACTAGGAGTCTTGAGCACAGGGGGAGCTCAAGACCCAGCTATCCTGCTGTTTAGGCCAAGTCCAACTGTGGGGACTGGAGGCTTCTGGAACTGACCACCAGAATGAAAGGGGACTTGGGAGTGAGTGACTGTGTCTGGAGACATGTCTGAAGCAAGACGCCCCCTTCAAGGGGGCTGGCAGGAAATGTTGCGGAGGCAGTGGCAAGAGCTTGTTCTCTAAATTCTTAGCCAGAGGGTGCTGGTCCAATCGTGGCTGGATTGGAGCCCTCTCTGGGGTTGGCAACTCTGCAAGTGGGGTGATGCACTGGGAAATCACTGTGGCCTTATGGAGCAAGACAGAAGGAGGCTCCCACCATAGGCCCTAGCCTGACATGGAGGAATTGATCCTGAGGAGGCAATGCAACAGAAGCCAAAATCTGTTTGCCTCAAGATGTTCCCTGCGATGTTACCAAGGCAAAAACTGGGGGAAATATGCTAAGTATCCGGTGAGCTCTTCTGGCAACCCACTCAGTGGACTTTAACGGTAGAGTGAACAGCACAGAGAGAGGTTTGTGGTGTAACGTTGTCTCCGCATCACACTGTGTCCCCTTAAGGATGACTCATAGGAACAACCTCTCTTTGTCCCAGTGCCAGGAAACGCTGTGTTTCTCCAGGACAGCTGCTTTGCTTTATCTTGATTTCTACATATCTGTCAGCTGACCACGTTTCCCTTTTAGCTTTGACTGTCGGGAAGCTCCAAGTCAAATTTCTGGCCCATCAGAACTGTACGGCAGGGATTCTGTATACAAACATTGCCCCTGGCTTTCTTTTCTTTCGTTCCTCCCAAACGGTCTTCTATTTATTAATACTCTTCGTTTATTGTATGCTGTATTTAAGAAAAAAAATTGAAATGGAATGGAGAGGAGAAAGAACAGGAACGAGAAAGTAAAACGAAAAAAGCTGAGAGGAAAATGGTTTAACATTCCGTTTAGATTCAGCTGAAGAGCATCAATTCTACTGGTCTCTCATGGATATAAAAGTGTTGACACCTTTAACTGGTAAAGTTAGAAATCTCACAGATGATGGTTAAAAAAGGAAAATGCAAAATAAAATAATGAGATGTGGGCTTCCCTGGTGGCGCAGTGGTTGGGAGTCCACCGGCCGATGCAGGGGATGCGGGTTCGTGCCCCGGTCCGGGAGGATCCCACGTGCCGCAGAGCGGCTGGGCCCGTGAGCCATGGCCGCTGAGCCTGCGCGTCCGGAGCCTGTGCTCCGCAACGGGAGAGGCCACAACAGTGAGAGGCCCGCGTACCGCAAAAAAATAAAAAAATAATGAGACATCATTTTCCACCCAGAAAATTGGCAAAAATTAGTTCTGACAATACTCAGTATTGGTGTGGATGAGCACTAGCATTTTTTTCTATGTGCTGCTGGGGCATGAACTGGCTAATTAGAATTTTCGCACGTGAAGGTGCATTTACACGCGACTCAGCCTTTACACGCCTAAGTATCTAAACTGAGAGAAACTTTTAAACGTGTTTGTTTCAGCATTGTCTGTAATAGCAAAATTAGGATGTATTCTAAATGTCATCAAAGGGAGAATGAAAAGTAAATTGTGGTCTAACTTCACAAGAGAATATTATACAGCAATGAAAGTGAATGAATCAGAGCTCCCTGTACTGCTGTGGCCAAGGTGCAAAGCACAATGGTGAGCAAAAACGGCAAACTGCAGAATGTTATGTGTGATTCCATTTCTATAATGTTTTAAATGGCAAAACCCATCTTACAGATTGTTTATGGGTCCAGATGTATGTTTTAAGGGTATAAAGACATGAATGGGAACAATAACCACTTGAGACACGCCAGAGGTGAGGAAGAGGACGGTGACGGGGTGGGGGCAGGTGTCGTGGGTGCTGGGTACACCGATGTGGATTCTATTATTAACTATTCTTTGTGGCATGCCTAAAATATCTCATTAAAACAAAGAAAAATAGTGTGAACACTGTCACAGCAACTGGGTAGCACGCTCTGCCTGCATCAGGACTGGGGAGGAAATGTGTGATAAACTGTGGTGTCGGGGAGGTAGGAGCCTGGGTGAGCATAAGTCCAACATCTGCTTTTTCACAAGCACGTGGGAAGGTGTTGCCTCTCTTGCAGGCTTCGTGGTCCAGGGCTCCAACGGCGAGTTCCCCTTCCTGACCAGCAGTGAGCGCCTGGAGGTGGTGAGCCGCGTGCGCCAGGCCCTGCCCAGGGACAAGCTCCTGCTAGCCGGCTCCGGCTGCGAGTGTGAGGCCTTAATGCCCCGGCCCTGGCGGTAGCTGCTGGGGGCGGGGGCGGGCTCCCTGACCCGGGGCTGGGTCCGGTCTAGCGCTTGCTCTGTCTCTTCTGCTCTGCGCCCCTTGCTTGCCTCAGGGTCCCAGCCCAGTCCTCTGCCTCCTGCCCTCGCCCACCGCGGCCTGTAGGGAAGACTTCCTCCTTCCTCCTGCAGCCACTCAGGCCACGGTGGAGATGACGGTGAGCATGGCCCAGGTCGGGGCTGACGCCGCCATGGTGGTGACTCCTTGCTACTATCACGGCCGCATGAACAGCGCCGCCCTCATTCACCACTACACCAAGGTGGGTGTGAGGGGTGGGTGTGGGCTTGAGGTCTGGGGCCAAGAGGAAGCTGGGTGAGGCAGAGATACTGCTTGGGGAGGGGAGGGGAGATGAGAGAAGCTGGGAGCAGAGTGGTGAGCCTACTTCCCATGAATGGCAGCTTTGGGAAAGGGGAGGGATGCCACCAGGTACCAGCTGTGTGACAGTGGGTGACTGACCTAACCAAGCTGTATTGCTGTTTCCTCCCCTCCCAAATGGGAGGAATAATGGAATCTTCCTCCAGGGTGGTTGTGAGGACTAAATCCAATCAAAACATAAAGGACTTAGAACTGTGCCTGGCACACAGAAAGCACTCCTAAGTGTTAGCCAGGACTAGTGCTTGCAATCAGGGTGCATAGCACTGTGACTTCTAGCCCAGCAGGTGGGCCAGTCCAGGTAGCCCTGCAGAGACCCAAGCCTGGACCGCCTCAGGCCTGGGGCAGCTGCCCTCTCCTCTCTTCTCTGTGCCCCTCAGGTTGCCGACCTGTCTCCAATTCCTGTGGTGCTCTACAGTGTCCCAGCCAACACGGGGCTGGACCTGCCTGTGGATGCGGTGGTCACGCTTTCCCAGCACCCGAATATCGTGGGCATCAAGGACAGCGGTGGTGATGTGAGTGGCAGCAGCTCTCGGCTGGGACGCCCTCCTCCTCTTCTCTTTTGCTACCAACTTCCGGGCAGCTCTGGGACCCGCTTCAGTCCGGGGCTCCTGTGTGGGTTCCCTCTGTCCTGTGGGCTCTCTGGGGTTCATCTGAACTTTGAGGCATCTCTCTGGGACCTGGGCTCTCATTCTCCCACACTTGCCCAGCCCCCATCCAGGCTGGTGGCAGAGCTTGTGGGCCCAGCTCTCACACCAGGTTTGCCGTTACAGGTGACCAGGATCGGGCTGATTGTTCACAAGACCAGGAGGCAGGATTTCCAGGTGTTGGCTGGATCGGCTGGCTTCCTGCTGGCCAGCTATGCCGTGGGTAGGCCTCTCACTGCTCTCAAACTGTGATGCGTGACCAAGACATACGCAGGCAGCTGGGTTCTGCTGGGAGAGATGGTGAGGGCCAGGACTGGGTGTAGAGGGGGCCTTTGCCAGCCTGCCTGCTCAGAAACCTCAGAGGTCTGGCACACTGCTTACTTATCTGAATAGTGGGTGCTTGTGGGTGACCTTGTTGGGCAGAGGAGGGTGGCCGAGTACAATCCCTGGCCTGTAGGGGGGATGCCTACAGTTTGCTCGAAGTCTCAAGCTCCCTGCTTAGGTGACAAACGTAGCTCCTTTAATCTCACCTTGTAAATCATTCTCTGAGGGAAGAGGCCTTGGGGCCCTTCCCACTAGTCGGGGGGTGCATTTTCCTCTCTCCGTGGGTCCAGGCCAGAATGAATTGTCAGGCCTGTGGGGTTGGGCTGGGGGTCTTCAGCTGCCTGATCAGACTCTGTTCCAGTCCAGGAGCCTAGGAATGTCACCATTAGACCAACTGCTCTTATCTGCTTGGGGTCAAGGTCCTTGGGTTCAGACTGGATTTGAGCCATGGAGCGGAGGGAAGCCTCTGCTCCCTTCAGCTGAAGCCCCAGTGAGTGTAGATTTGAGTTACTTTTCCAACGATGCAGGGGAAAATGCTGGTTCCTATTCTCTCTTGTCTCTGCAGACTTTGACTTGTAGTATAGGTCCTGTGTAGCTCCCCTCTGCCTTGTCACAGTCTCTAAAGGGGAGAGTAGAAGGGACCCATTTATGCTTCATTCCTGAGAGTGTGGTAGATGGAAATATCACAGGCTCTGGAAGTTGGGGATCTGAGCTGGAATCTGAGCTCTGCCATTTATTCACTGAGAACCAACAGGGCAAAGTACATGACCTTTCTGGGCCTAGTTTCTACTCTGCAAAGCAGGGAGGTGTTATGAGGGTTAGAGAGCATTGGCCCTATGTCTGCCATAGTGCTCGGCACATAGTAGGTTTTCAATAAATGGCATCTGTATTAGCTCATTCGAGCTATATTAGCATTAGCTTGAAATGCCTACTCTCTCTCCAGTCTTGAGGCCACTCTGCTTTGAGTCACCCCTAACTAGCTTTGGAATCACACTCACAGGCTGGCAGAAGCGGCAGGAACCTCTGAGATCACAGCCAGCCCGTTTTCATTGCCCACATGAGAACAAAGAGAACTGGAGAGGGTTGATAACTTGTCCAAGTTCATGCAGCCAGTGGGAGGAAATGCTGGGTCTCCTGCCTCTGTCTAGTGCTTTTTCCCCTCCCCTAACCTCTCCCTCGCTGCTGTCCCAGGCTGAATTCACTGCGGGGAATAAAATTTCAGTAGAGCAAAGGCTTCCCATCCACTCCATCCCCTTCCAGGGCTGATGAGTCAGGGGGCTATTGGAGGATCGTGGAGGTATCAACTGGCAGGTGGGACTCTACTCTGCAGGGGGTGGGGGGTGGAGGGAGGGGTGTGCAGGGAAGGAACTGTCCTTGAGTTAGCCTTCAGGCTCTGCTCCCTGCCCCTCAGCCTGTGGGAGTCTATTTTGAATATGCTGGAAATATTCTCTCTGGAAATCTGTGAACTCACAGAGCGTGTCTCAGGTATGGCTAACCAGTGGCCTAGAAATGCACAGCCTGTCTGCCCAGAACAAAGGGGTGCTGGGGACCAGGATTTGGAATTCTCTGCAGGCAGAGGCTCTGCCTGGTATTCTGCATCTTACTCTGTGGCAGGAGCTGTAGGGGGCGTGTGTGCCCTGGCCAATGTCCTGGGGGCTCAGGTGTGCCAGCTAGAGCGACTCTGCCTCACAGGGCAATGGGAAGATGCCCAGAAGCTGCAGCACCGCCTCATTGAGCCAAACACTGCGGTGAGTTCCCAGCCAATGGACCCAGAGTGGGGGTGGTCTGTGTCCTCATTGGAACAGGAGCCAGTGCTGGCACAGGGGTCCCCACTTGGTCTCTTCCCTTTCAGAAAGTCCTTTTAGAGAACATCCCAGTGTGGGAACTCTTTGTGCCTCCCCAGAAAATCTTGACTTCAGGAACAAAGTCGAACCACATTGGTTCTCAAACTTACGTGTGCATTAGAATTCATTTAGGGAGCTGGTTAAAATTCTACTCCTTTAGGCTCAGGAACAGTCATTGAGACAAGCATCCTGGATGACTGTGACATCAGGAATCCTGGAACCTTACTTAGAGATGCCCTGCCTAAAGAGAGGGAAACATGGGCCTTTACGTCAGCTTTATAAGGGGCCAGATCCTGAAAAATAGAATGATTTAGAGTAATAAAGGAGTGGGAAGGCTGGAGGTATTCAGAGCGCAGCTTTCCCAGGAAAGTCCTGTCTTCAAATAATCCGTTCTGTAGTCAGACTGTGTACCCCAACTCTGCTGGGCAAGTCAAGGAGAAGAGGCAAGATGGAATGCTTGTCAATTGCAGGCAGTGCTGTGCTGAGCATATTGGAGTCTGAGGCATAAAGAAAAACGTGTGTCCCTGGAGACATGTTTTTATTCATATTTTAAGTTAAACTTTTAATTTTAGGATTATTGTAGATTCACGTGAAATTATAAGAAACAATACAGGGAGATCCCAGGTACCCATTACCCTGTTCCCCCCAATGGTAACATCTTAAAAAGCTGTAGCATGAAATTACAGCCAGGATTTTGACATGTATACAGTCCAGATACAGAATATTTCCAGCACCATGAGGATCCCTCGTGTTATCCTTTTAGAGCCACACCTACTCATCTCCTGCCCCCACCCCCTCCTTAACCCCCGGCAATCACAAATATGTTCATTTTTATAATTTTATCAGTTCAAGACTGTTATATAAATGGAATCAGATAGCCTATAACCTTTTTATTTCCTCTATGAACAAATCTTTTTTTTTTTTTTTTTTTAGTCTGTAACCTTTTGAGATTTGCTTTCTTCACTCAGCATAATTTTCTGGAGATTCATTCAGGCACATGTAAGCAATAGTTCCTTTTTATTGCTGCATAGTAGTTCATGGTGTGGCCATAAACAGCCTGTTTAACCATTCTCTTGGTGAAGGAAAGCTGGTTGTAAAGCTGCTATGTACATTTACGAACAGGTTTTTGTGTGACCATAAATTTTCATTTTTCTGGGATAAATACACAATTGGTGGGTCGTATGTTGTTTGCAAGTTTAGTGTTTTAAGAAACTGTTTTCCATAGTGAGTGTACCATATTGTATTTACACCAGTGTAAATGTATGCATGACCCAGTTTCTCTGCATCCTCACCAGCATTTGGTGTTGTGACTTTTTTTTTTTTTTTGCCATTCTGATAGGCATGTTGTGACATCTTGTGGTTTTAATTTACATTTTTCTGATGGCTAATGCTGTTGAACATCTTGTCATGTATTTATTTGGCATCTATATATCCTCTTAGTTGAAATGTCTGTTTATGTCTCTTGCCCATTTTCCAACTGGATTTTTTTTTTTTTTTACTGTTGAGTTTTGGAAGTTCTTTATACCTTCTAGATACTAGTCCTTTGTCAAAAATGTGGTTTGCAAAGATTTTCTCCCAGTCTGTAGCTAGTCTCATCGTTCTCTTAACAGATCTTTTACAGAGCAAAAGTTTTTAATCTTGAGGAAGTCTAATTTATCAATATTTTCTTTTATGTTTATGCTTTTGATGCAAGTCTAAGAACTCTTTGCCTAGCACTAGATTGTAAAGTTTTTCTATTTTTTTCCTAAAAGTTTTATATTTTACAAGCCTGTGACCCATTTTGAGTTAATTTTTGTAAAACGTATGAGACTTAGATCAAGGTTCATTTTTTTTTTTCTGTTCTTTTTTGGCCTGTAGATATCCACTTGCTCCAGCACCATCTGCTGAAAAGATGGATCTTTCCTTTACTGAATTACTTTTGCACTTTTGTCAAAAATCAGTTGGGTGTATTTGTGTAGGTCTATTTCTGGATTCTCTATTCTCTCCATTGATCTATCCCTCTGCAGTACCATACAGACTTGATTATTGTAGGTGTGTAATAAATCTTAAAATCAGATTTTAAGATTTTAAGCTAGACTGATTCCTCCCACTTTGTTCTTTTTTTTCCCAAAAAATTGTTTTAACTAATCTAAATCCTTTGTCTTTCCATATAAATTTTAGAAAAATATTGTGGATGTCTACGAATACTTGCTGGAATTTTTTTTTTTTTTTTATAAATTTATTTATCTTATTTATATTTGGCTGTGTTGGGTCTCCGTTGCCGTGTGCAGGCTTTCTCTACTTGTGGCTCGTGGGCTCTAGCGCGCAGGCTCAGCAGCTGTGGCGCACGGGCTCAGCCGCTCCGCGGCATGTGGGATCCTCCCGGACCAGGGCTCGAACCCGTGCCCCCCCGCATTGGCAGGCGGACTCCCAACTACTGCACCACAAGGGAAGTCCCCTTGCTGGAATTTTGATAGGAATTGTGTTAAACCTGTACACCAATTTGGGAACAATTGACATTTTTACTGTGTTGTCTTCAAATCCTTGAATATAGTTATGTCTCCATTTATGTAGACCTTCGTTGATTTATTTCATCAGCACTTTGCAGTTTTTGGCAAACCAGTCCTATACAAGTTTTGAGAGATTTATACCCAAGTGGCTCATATTTTTTGAGTGATTATAAATGATATTGTATTTTTAATTTCACTATTCATATGTTCATTGCTAGTATGTATAGAAACACAGTGGATTTTTGCTTCTTTATGTTGTATCATATGACTTTGCTGAACTCACTTATGGGTTCTATGAGATTTTTTTCTATATTCCTTGGGATTTTCTACATAGACAATCATATCATCTACAAATAGGGGATGTTTTATTTCTTCCTTTCTGATCTGCATACCTTTTATTTCCTTTCTTGCCTTATTGCACTGGCTAGAACTTCCTGCACTATGTTGAATAAGAGTAGGGAGAGTGGACATCCTTGCCTTGTTTCTGATCTTAAAGAAAAGCATTCAGCCTTTCACTGTTAAGTGCAATGTTAGCTATAGGTTTCTGTAGATGCTCTTTTTCAAGTTGAGGAAGTTCTCCCTTATTCTAGTTTTCAGAGAGTATTTAAAAATCATGAATGGGTGTTTAATTTTTGTCAAATTTTTTATGCATTGATTGATTTGACCATGTGATTTTTTTTCCTCTTTAGCCTGTTTATATGGTAAGTTACATTAATAATTTTCAAATATTGAACCAGACTTATATCCCTGGGATAAACCCCACTTGCACATGGTGTATAACTTTTTATATATTGCCAAATTCCATTTGTTAATATTTTACTAAGGGTTTTTCCTGCCTATATTCATGAGAGATATTGGTATGTAGTCCTTTTTCTTTCTTCCTTCCTTCCTCCCCCCCACCTCTTTCTTTCTTTCTTTCTTTTTTCTTTCTTTTCTTTCTTTTCTTTCTTTCCTGTCTTTGTCTGATTTTGGTATCAGGGTAAAAATAGCTTCATTAATTGATTGGGAAGTGTTCCCTCCTCTTCTGTTTTCTGGAAGAGGCTGTGAGAATTGATGTTAAGTCTTCTTTAAACACTAAAAAACAATTCTCCATTGAAACCATCTGGGCCTGGAGATTTCTTTTTTGGGAGTTTAGAAATAATAATGGCTCCACACTAGGCCTCTACGGATACCTCCGTAGCTGAAAGGGGTAGAAGTGCCTTCTTACTGCTACTCGTGTGGCCTCCACTGACATCTTTTTTTTTTTTTTTTGCGGTACGCGGGCCTCTCACTGTTGTGGCCTCTCCCGTTGTGGAGCACAGGCTCTGGACGCGCAGGCTCAGCAGCCATGGCTCATGGGCCTAGCCGCTCCGCGGCATGTGGGATCTTCCCAGACTGGGGCACGATCCTGTGTCCCCTGCATCGGCAGGCGGACTCTCAACCACTGCGCCACCAGGGAAGCCCTTGCATTTTTTTTTTAATATTGCATTAAATATTTGTCTTGTGACTGAGTTTTGCCTCTGAGGCAATAGTCCCAGACGGAGCCTGGCAATGTTTTCTTTGGGAAAGTGGTGGGAGGGCTCTAGATTTCCCTCACAGCTTATATCTTTACCTCAAAAGGACAGATTAACTCAGATTTAGAGAAAGGACAGCTGAGGAGGCAAGCACGAGTTTCCCTGGATGTGAAGGTTCTCCTGGGATAGGACGGGCTACAGATAGGGTGTAAGAATTGCAGAAATGAGGGCCTTTCAGCTGAGCCCCATCAGGGCCCAGGCTGTACTATACATTCTGACATTCCACTGGGGCGGGACTTCTTCTCTCCCACTCCCATCTGCCTGTGAGAGAGAAGGTCCCAGAACCTGCAGACCACCCGGTTAGGAAGAGGAGGAGTTTCCAGGCCGCTTGAGGTCTGGCCTAAATAGTGGCATTTTTCTCATCCAATTCTTGTGACATGGGGTAGATGTTGTTACCTCCTAATTTGATAGACGAAGCAGCTTGGGCTGTCCTTTGGGAAGAGAGGATACTTGCTGCCTTCCTAGCCCTTGGCATGCCATCCTGCCTTACCCTTCACTCTGCGCCCCGTCCTGTGCCAACTCTGGGCACACACTCAGGAATGTCTGGAACACCTTTCTGCTGCCCTGGCTGTAGGCTCAGCCACCCCAAGAGCAGCTTGATGTCACCTTATTGCCCTGCCCTGCTCGAACACAATGTGCGTCCACTGCCCTCCCACCCAGCCGGCCTCCTGCCCAGGCTATATTTAGGATTTTCCCTGTTTTTTACCTCCAAAGTGTTCAACCCTTTCTCAGCATCTGAAGAGGGGCAAATCAGAGATCTTCAGACCCTTATGTGGAAGAAAGCTTTCCTCTAGGTACTTCTTGTTTCCATCGTCTTTCCCACCCTAGTCAGGTTTTGGGTGAAATGCTCAGGTTATTAGAACATGATGGGAGCCAGGTCTGGGAGGAGGCTTGCTAAAGTCTACTGGCCTCTAGTGGTGAATAGTTATTAGCCAGTCATTCATCAGTGGTTCCCAGCCTCTTTACCCCAAACAACCTCTTTTATTAGTTTTACCCTTCATGAAGCCCATATTTCTAAGGTTTTACTTCCCTCAAAATGAAACTTTATTAAGTAATAATTACTTTCTTAGTTTTTAGGTAGTCAAAGATTAATCTAACACTTCCCAACAGCATGAAACAACCCGTTGCTATGCTAAACACAAAGAAACTTGATTCTTCATTTTCTGTAAAACTCCATGCATGATTTTAAATTAGATCTCCCACTACAATGGAAAAGACTTTAGAGGTCGTGTTATCCGGCCCCCTCGTGTTTTAGGCAAGTGAACTTGCTCAGAGATAAGTAAATGATACAGGGTTACAGAGTGAAACTTCTTCGGACAAGGATGCATTGTTTTCCCTGTGAGAGCATTTGGAGTTGGGGTCAGGGAGGAGCGATGGGTGCATGGGGAGGGACCCTGCTGCGGGGGCAGTAGAGGTCTGGGCTGTTCCGACTCTCCACTCCTGGTGTGCCCTGAGTCAGGTTCCAGGGAACTGGGCTGCAGACCAGTGAGTCTCTACCGCCCAGACCCACAGCGCTGCTGCCTTCTCCCAACCCAGTTTGAGGACCGAATGCCACTCTCCTCCCCGATGGGGCAGATTTCTCTCCTAAAACCAAAGCAGGTGCCTTCCTTCATTCTAGGTTTTGGCATTGTGTTCTCTACTGCCGACCTGCCTTCTGGTGACCTACCCTGGGTGTCATAGATTGGGTAGTTAGTTTACCGGGAGGGAAGGGTGGGAACCCTAACTTTCTGCAAGTGACACATGTCTGGGTCCCAGATGTGTGTGCAGGGGACTCCCCAGTCTCTTCTAACAGGCCCTGCTCCTCAGGTGACCCGGCGCTTCGGGATCCCGGGGCTGAAGAAAACCATGGACTGGTTTGGCTACTACGGAGGCCCCTGCCGCGCCCCCTTGCAGGAGCTGAGCGCCGCCCAGGAGGAGGCGCTGCGCCTGGATTTCACCAGCAACGGCTGGCTCTGAGCGTGAGGACGGGACGGCCGGACCGCGCACATCCCAAACTCTTGCCTTGCGGTAGCAGCCTGAAGAGGAGCGCGGGGGGACGAGGGTTCAAGGCCCCTCTTCTTATTTCAGTCATCCAGGTAGCCTCTCTCCAGGCGCTGCCATGCACGCTCGTTTCCTGTTCTCCCGGCCCCGTGACCTCTCGCATTTGTATCCTGAACTCTGGGTCTCTAGAGACCTTCAGTCTTGGAAGGAGCAATGACTTACTTGTCTCTCTACTGTGCTTTTCTATCCCCTGAGACACGTGAACCAGGACCCAGAGGGGAAAGTCACGGGGGCAGTTGGGCACAGAAATGCCATGTTTTACTGAAAGGAAGACTGCTTAGACTTGGGGGTACAAACCTGAGTCCAGCACAGTGCAGCAGGAAGCCAGGGTGACTCCTGAGAACCCAACTTCTGACTCCTTCCAGGGGAAGCAATAGGTTGGGAAACCTGATCAGAAAGGTGTCACTGGTCTTTCAAAGACACCCCCCCACCCCGCAAGCTGCATTCTAATCCTTTCCTAAACCTATTTTGATTGATCTCATATTGTCTCTAGCCTTTATCCCAACCATCACGTGCACCAGTGAGACAGCCCAGTGGCTTGCCAGAACTGGTAAATAATGACACCTGGTGGATAAATGTTCCATTCTAGAAGGCTATTCTAGCCAACCCAGGTCTGAAACATTAGGAAAGGGGACTTGGCCTGAGATAGGACCATCCTCTTGCCTATACACACTCTGCTTTTATTGTTAGGAACAATTACTTTGTTACTGCAATAAAATTGAATAAGTTAAATTAGTGTGGCTATGTACAGATTAACACTCCACTGCTATGCAGATCTTAGGTTTCCAGCCCAGATATCAAGAACCTTCCCAGAGGCAATTTAGCTCCCAAGGTCTGTGTTTTCCCACCTCTGAGAGAGGCCCTAAGAATACTGAGCAAACATAACCATTAGATTATTGGAGGCCTAGGGAAAAAGTTATTGACATTTTAAATGGTAGAGGTAAGAGGCAAATAGGTTCAAGTGAGATATTTAGAAACACTTAGCACATTCATTAAAAGGCTGCTTTCTCTAAAATGTTCAACCTTGGGAATTCCCTGGCAGTCCAGTGGTAGCAATCCGCGCTGTCACTTCCGAGGGCCTGCATTCAGTCCCTAGTCAGGGAATTAAGATCCCACAAGCAACGCGGCAAAAAAAAAAAAAAAAAAAAAAAAAGTTTAACCTTATTCAGTGATATCTGACTAGTGGCAGAAAACCTGAGATGAATTTTTTAAAAACTACTCTCGTAAAAAATAAATAAATAAATAAAAACTACTCTCGTTTAAAAGAAAGGTAAACAGATCCTTGTTTAGGGCAAGGGCTAAAAGAGAGAATATAAAAGGTATCAATCTTCAGCAGAAACGGGGCATCTGGTTGGCACTGAAGCTTGGGGCTTAGCACCTGGGCTCTTCTCACAGGCAACTTCTGGAAGATCTGGGCTCAGAGGAGAATCAGGTTTAGGGATGGGGCAAAAAGTTAGGGCTAGGGAGGCAGCCTAGTATACTGGTGAAGAGCTCAGTCTCTGGGATTTCCATTCTTGGATTTGTACCTTAGTGTCTGCAAGACCTTAGAAAACTATTTAACTGCCCTGAACCTCATCTGTAATACAGGGATAATAATGGTACCTTCCTCTCAGGGCTTATAAGGTCATGCAAGTGAATGGGTTAGCATGGAAGGTGAATGTTCAGAGAAAGACTTGCCTGAGGTAACCCAACAGGTGTGACAATAAATGGTCTCAGGACTTGGGCACCCTGACTTTCAAGGTGATGAGGAATTCAGTGGAAAGTGCTTTGGAGTCAAAAAGTCCCAGATACAAATCCCACCCAGCTCTGCCACTTACTAGTTTGGGCAACCTGAGCCTGCCTGGCTTTTTTTTTTTTTTTCGGTACATGGGCCTCTCACTGCTGTGGCCTCTCCCGTTGTGGAGCACAGGCTCCGGACGCGCAGGCTCAGCAGCCATGGCTCACGGGCCCAGCCGCTTCGCGGCATGTGGGATCTTCCCGCATCGGGGCACGAACCCGTGTCCCCTGCATCGGCAGGCGGACTCTCAACCACTGCGCCACCAGGGAAGCCCTGCCTGGCTTTTTGTGTGTGTGTGTGTGTGTTTTTAATGTTCCTACCTTTCAGAATTAGATGATATTATGTAGTAAAGTGTGCAGTGTCAGTTTCAAGCCCCCATCTATAATTAACTTTTAGAAACAGCAAATGGGTCAATATTCATAAGGGTGTACAGCAAGAGAGTCAAGAAAACTAAGTATAGGCAGTTCTGGTGATTGTTTAGTCCTCATAAACACTTGTTTCTACAGTACAATTCAGAGAATAAATAGAGGCACACGGCTCTAATTTCCACCACAATCTGCTGTTGAGGAGACATTCAGTGTGAGGATAAGGGGCTGGGGGGGCATGTTTGGGTCACAGGGTAACTGGAGGCCTCTGTGATGAACTGTGCAGGGATCCAGTCGATCAAGATCTGATCCCTAGGCCTGATGGCCAAGGCTCATGGTGCAAGAGTTACAGTGAACCAAATGCTCTTTTAGTTCACTGCCATCCCATGATGGGTCCAATTCTACCTGAACCCCAAGGGGTTGAGGTGGGTCTGACCTACTGGTCCACTGGGAAGAAGCTGTGTCAGCCCAAGCCATCCTTAAGGATTTAGTTCACTCCATGACAGGGCCTGATGGGACCCACAGATATCTGCCCTTGCCCTGGAGTTAGTTATAAATACAAGTTATAAGGTGACTGTTTATATCGGTTTCTTTCTGACTAAAGGGATCCTTTCCCATGTCTAAGGAAGGAGAGAGGAGCACAAATTATGTTTGTGAAGTCAAGGGAGAGGGAAATAGCATTCACTGAACCCTTCACAGGGGCAATAAGCAGACATGAGGACCAGTCTGGTCAGACAAAGTGGAAGGCCTGGGGCCATGATGCCAACCAGAAGCGAATGCAGGGGTAACATACAGAAAAGCTCTGGCCTTGACTTTCTCAGGACCGCTGTACTGTCTAAGCCACTCCTATCGTTTTCCTTATTTCTCCAGGGCAGTACAGAGCACTGGCCCTAATCTGGGGCTGGGATCATCTGCCCCAAATAGAGGTGGAAGGAAGAGACTCTGTATCACTTGGCAGAAAATGAAGTAGCAGGTCTGCACCGGGTGACCCATGGTTTTAGGGACAGAGAGTACCAACGAGCAAGAGAAGGGCAGGGCACACCGGGTACCACTGCTGCAAGGCCAGCGGCCCGAGCCTCAGACCTTCTGTAACCGAAGCCCTGCCTGGCAGGTGACGGGGCCCCTCCCGGAACTTCTGCTCCATGGTCATTCTCATCTCCTCTCACATCGGATTCTTTTGTTCACCCCCAGCAGGTGGTGGGGCGTTGCTGTCAGCTGGGCGCAGCGCCACGTCAGGCGGTGAGGCTCCGGGCTGACTTGGAGGCGCTCTGGGCCCGCTGAACCACCGCCGAGCACTTCTCGCGCCGCAAAAGCTTGTTGTTCTCGAACAGACCTTCGTTGCGGGGTATTCCGTGAGAACCATCGGGGAAAGTCAGCAGGCCTTTGAGGGGGACAGAGAAAATATGGGTGAGACAGTGGCATTAGTGGCTGGGAGGTCTGCTTGCTACGTAGAGGCGGAGGGAGAGAAAAGTTTGCAGCCCTTGGGTACTCTATTGGTGAGTCTGATGACCCGGCATTGGCACCCAGTCACTATGCATTGCTGGGCATCCACAGGAGGATTAAAGCTGCAAAAGTGTCCTTCCACCCATTTATGCTTGTCAGTCACCTGTCCTGCTGGCCCGCAACTTACCCAAACCATCCACTCTGCCGTTTTTAAATTCCCCCTCAAAGGTCATGTTGTCATGTCGAATGAAGACTCCGACGCCGTTGAACTTGCCCTGGGCAAACTCCCCCTCATACCTGCAGAAACACGAGATGTCAGACTTCAGGATAACTGAGTCAGGCAGCTGCCAACACCAAATGTGTGGTTATCAACACCAAGGAGCAAAGTTGATTCCACTCTTCCAGAGCTCCCACCCACCCAGCCAGCAGAGAAGGGTCAGAGAGTGTGTATGATACGAGGCTCTAATCTCAAGGAAATAACCTAAGAGGACAGTGGTGGGGTGGGAGGTCACTGACCTCCTTGCCATTTCAAATTTTAGATGTATTTATAAAGTAACCAATAAAAGAACAAACGCTGCTCCTTGCCTGTTTTCAGAGGGCCCGGGACCAGCTCAGGTTTGACCAGGTGTTTCTCACTGTCCCTTTTAGAACAGAACTTCCCTTCCCTAGTTTAAGGCTGAGAAAGGAATGATGACCCAGTACCCACCTCGAGCCATCTGAGAAGGTTAGTACCCCGAAGCCATTAAAGAGCCCATTCTCAAAATGGCCCAGGTACGCGCCACCATCTGCAAACATCAGCTGACCAAAACCATGTCTGCGGCCTGAGCAAAGAGAAGACAGGTGTCAGGTTGGGATGGGGCAGCTTCAGGGTCCCCTCTCACAGTCCAACATCCTTTGCCTTGCATCACCCCACCCACAAAGGAAAGAAGAGAAGCAGTGACATTAGCAGGGCAGAGAACTATTACCCAGAGTAATAAGCTGGCTTCTAAGATCTTCCCTTCTTAAGTCACAACCATCAGATTTGGAGCAGGTCTCTCCAAGTATGAAGATAAGAGAGCACTGAAAAATCACAATAGCTTAAAAAAAATTTAAATAAAAATCACAATAGCTAACTTCACAGGGCCTTCACTATGTGCCACGCACTCTTCCAAGCACTTTGTATTTATCATCTTATTTAATCCTCACAACAACCTTAGGAGGTAGGCCCAATACTATTATTATTCCCATTAACAGATGCAGAAACCAAGGCAAGGAGAAGATAAAAAACTTACTCAAGATCACAGAGCAACTAAAAGTGGTAGAGCAAGACAGCAAATGCAGCTGGCAGACTGACTCTGGAGCCCTCGACACTTAACTGCCTTGACACTCTGAGAAAAAAATTAAAGTACCCTCCAACACCATGAAGCTGCTGGGCAAACCTAACAGCCTGACTGGCAATACTAGTTTGAGCTTTGTTCCATCAATAGGGCTGTGCTTACCCACTGAACTGACCAGAGAACAGAGCAAGATACTGGAGAAGCAGCAATGCCATTCCGGGTACAAGGGCGCTCTTTTGGTGGATAGAGACTGCCCAGCAGAGCCTCGAGAAGCCTCTCCCCTTAAAAGGTCACGTTAAAGGGGACAGTAGGTGTTTGGGAGGCAGGAGAAAAGGCTGTGGATGTACGGAGGCAAGGTCACGTCCCATGTCACAATTTCTCCTCTCAAGGCTCAAAAATTCATCAGCTGCAGGGATCTACCATGAAAAGAATGAGGCGTCTGGAAAGAGTGTGAACTGCTCTTCGTTGGCACAACTACAGAGAGTCAAGTCTCCTCAGGGCAGTTCCGGGTTTGCTAGGACTGGACCCGTGAGACTTTTAAGTGGCCAGACTGTTTCCAAACTGAACATCATTAAAGTGCTTCCTGTAAAGCCTCAGGCTGGAGGAATTCTGCCCTTCCTATGAATAGATACTTCCAAATGTAATGAGCTGTCACAGGAAATTCAAGGCAATGAATGTCATCTGCTCTTGAGTGTCTGCCCTAATTTCTTCCTTAAGATTCACTAGAATCAAGTCATTACAATGAATCTGTACTTTGCAACTTATGGGCCCTAAAAATAATTCATTTTGCTCTGCTGAGTACCTTAGCATTTATAAAAACAATTCCCAAGTAATACCACTAAAGGGTAAAAGAGTGTTGGGGGGGCTTCCCTGGTGGCGCAGTGGTTGAGAGTCCGCCTGCCGATGCAGGAGATCTGGGTTCGTGTCCCAGTCCGGGAAGATCCCACATGCTGCGGAGCGGGTAGTCCCGTGAGCCATGGCCGCTGAGCCTGCGCGTCCGGAGCCTGTGCTCCGCAACTGGAGAGGCCACAACAGTGAGAGGCCCGCGTACCGCAAAAAAAAAAAAACAAACAAAAAAAAGAGTGTTGGGGGTTCTCCTGGCAGGCCAGTGGTTAGGACTCAACACTTTCACTGACATAGGCCCAGGTTCAATCCCTGGTCGGGGAACTAAGATCCTGCAAGCCACGAGGCGTGGCAAAAAAAAAAAAAAAAAAAAAAGAGTGTTAAAACACTTCAAATTTAGAAGTGGGAAGTGGGAAGGTTTAACTTATTTCTGGAGATTGGAGTAACAATAGCATTTTCCAATTCCTTTATTTATAATCCTA